GCGGCTCCCGGTCAGGAACAGGGGAGCCCGCCGATTGCGGCTCCCGGTCAGGAACAGGGGAGCCCGCCGATTGCGGCTCCCGGTCAGGAACAGGGAGGACCACCGACCGAGTCCCAGGAACAGGCCCACAGGAGTCCGCCACCTGCTGCTCCTGGACAGGAACTGAGGAGCCCGCCGACCGCGGCTCCACATCTGGAACAGGGGAGGCCACCGACTGTGGCTCCAACTCAGGAACTGGGGAGACCACCGACTGTGGCTCCACCTCAGGAACAGGTGACACCACCGGCTGTGGTTCCACCTCAGGAACTGGGGAGGCCACCGACTGTGGCTCCAACTCAGGAACTGGGGAGACCACTGACTGTGGCTCCACCTCAGGAACAGGTGACACCACCGGCTGTGGTTCCACCTCAGGAACTGGGGAGGCCACCGACTGTGGTTCCACCTCAGGAACAGGTGACACCACCGGCTGTGGTTCCACCTCAGGAACTGGGGAGGCCACCGACTGTGGCTCCACCTCAGGAACTGGGGAGGCCACCGACTGTGGCTCCACCTCAGGAACATGGGAAACCACCGACTGTGGTTCCACCTCAGGAACAGAAGAAACCACCGACTGTGGTTCCATCTTAGGAACAGGGGAGACCACCCAAGGAGGCACATGTTCAGTCTCTGAGGTGGCTTGAAGCGTCTGTAGAGGGCTCTTGGCTGTTTGTGGCCTCTGCTGAGTGGCTCTTGGGGGCATATCTTCACCAACTCCAAATTCTGAAGCCCTCTTAAGTTTAAGCTCAGGGGTCTCTAGACGGCACAGAGCTGACTTAAGGCGACGCCTTTTCTTACGCCGAGGGGTCTTTGGAGCTAAGCTAATCGGTTCACTGATTGAATCTGGCGACAAATTAACCGGTTGAAAAATAGGAGTTCCAGAACGGATCACTAATTCAGTGGCTAGGGAATCGGGCATGGGAACGGGTTCAGGAACGAAAGTGACAGGTTCAGGTGTCTGATCAGGCTGGCGGGGAACTCTAGTAGTTTGAAATTTAACTTGTGGGCCTAATTTGAGTCCTTTGACAGATGGAGCTAAGTGAGGGTCGAGTATATGTGAGCTGAGACTAACCCAGCGCTGACGGGAACTGGATATGGTTTGTAGTGCTATGTCTAACCCAATGGCTAGTTCTATGAGGTCCTCAAGGTTAGTTGGCTCGACGTAAAATGAAACTCAACTCAACTCAACTTTATTGTCAAATGTGCTACATGTAAACATACAACACAGATGAAATTTCCATCCCCTCAACCCCACAGTGCATAATAAAATATAAAATATATATATATATATATATATATATATATATATATATATATATATATATATATNAGGGTGGAGTGTAGCAGGGCGGGGTGTAGCTTGGCGGAGTGTAGCAGGGTGGAGTGTAGCAGGGCAAAGTGTAGTGGGGCGGAGTGTAGCAGGGCGGGGTGTAGCTGGGCGGGGTGTAGCGGGGCGGAGTGTAGCAGGGCTGGGTTGTAGCTGGGCGGGGTGTAGCAGGGCAGAGTGTAGCAGGGCGGGGTGTAGCGGGGCGGAGTGTAGCAGGGCTGGGTTGTAGCTGGGCGGGGTGTAGCGAGGTGTAGCAGGGCGGGGTTGTAGCTGGGCGGGGTGTAGCGGGGCGGAGTGTAGCGGGCTGGAGCGTAGCAGGGTGGAGTGTAGCGGGGCGGAGTGTAGTGGGTTGGAGCGTAGTGGGCCGAAGTGTAGCGGGTTGGAGCGTAGCGGGGTGGAGTGTAGCGGGGCGGAGTGTAGTGGGTTGGAGCGTAGCGGGGCGGAGTGTAGCAGGGTGGAGTGTAGCGGGGTGGAGTGTAGTGGGTTGGAGCGTAGCGGTGCAGAGTGTAGTGGGTTGGAGCATAGCGGGGCGGAGTGTAGCAGGGTGGAGTGTAGCGGGGTGGAGTGTAGCGGGTTGGAGCGTAGCGGGCTGGAGTGTAGCGGGGTGGAGTATAGTGGGTTGGAGTGTAGCAGGGTGGAGTGTAGCGGGGTGGAGTGTAGCAGGTTTGAGTGTAGCAGGTTTGAGCGTAGCAGGGTGGAGTGTAGCGGGTGGAGTGTAGCGGGTTGGAGCGTAGCAGGGTGGAGTGTAGCGGGGCGGAGTGTAGTGGGTTGGGGCATAGCGGAGCGGAGTGTAGCAGGGTGGAGTGTAGCGGGTTGGAGCGTAGGGGGGTGGAGTGTAGCAGGGTGGAGTGTAGCGGGGTGGAGTGTAGTGGGTTGGAGCGTAGCGGGGCGGAGTGTAGTGGGTTGGAGCGTAGCGGGGCGGAGTGTAGCGGGTTGGAGCGTAGGGGGGTGGAGTGTAGCGGGGCGGAGTGTAGCGGGCTGGAGCGTAGCGGGGTGGAGTGTAGCGGGGCGGAGTGTAGCGGGCTGGAGCGTAGCGGGGTGGAGTGTAGCGGGGCGGAGTGTAGCGGGCTGGAGCGTAGTGGGTTGGAGCGTAGCGGGGCGGAGTGTAGCGGGCACTAAGGCAAGGAGGACCAGGAACAAAAAACAGAGT